CACATTTGGATGTTTTGGTGGACTTTTAGAAAGCAAAATTATCACAACTACCGTATCAGTAGTTGCTAGATCATGTTGCCTCATCTACCTGTCAGGTGGGCATTTCTCACTCAGGTTATAGTCGTCAAACTACAGACATTGCTTTCACTATCTGCCACCACAGACCTGGGACCTCCTACTCACAGCACTGATTGAAAAGGAGGGTCCTCCACACCTCTGCACTGACAGGACCCCACCCACTGAGGCCCAAGCTTTCCCAGGGGCTGCCCTGAGAAACCAGGTAAAACTACCCATGAGTTGCAAGAGAGGGACTGCCACCAATAAAAGGCAGAAAAGGAGATGAGATCCATGTCTTGCCTTTTCTGCTTCTCTCATCCAGCGTCTATTCTGTGATGCAAAAGTTGGGAAAAATCTCTCTGGTCATGACTCCCAGTGACTCATCCACTTGTGTCTGCCCTCTCCCCTTCTCCTTCTTTTCCTCACTCTTGTGTCCCTGGGACTCCATTCTCCAACAGCATGTTTGCCTCAGGTTCTATCTCTAGAACACTTGGGCTAAACAAGTCATTTTTAAGAAATTTTCAAATATTAAACATGTTATTTATTATAAGAAAAGCGAGCAATATTAATTAGAACATGTTTAATTGAAAACATTCACTTATTTGCATTGAGCTGTGTTTGGATTCTGGAGAAAGGAGAAATCACATGAAACAGTCACTGAAAGAGAAGGGAGAGTTGAGAAGACATGGAAAATGACCAGCCAAACAACAGTCAAAAAAACAGTAGGTCTCGCTGCGGAGACATCGACAGGAGATAATCAGAAACACATGGCCATGGTGAGTATAAATGTATTCCCCAAATAGCACAGTTTCCATTAAAGGAGCACATACTAAGGAGACTTGTTTCCACTGTGTCTGTTTATAATTTAATGTGCTTCTTGTGTTATGAAATGTTGAAGTGTTAGATTCCATGAAAATAGATAAATCCACTAAGTGATCTACTTTGGGGAAGACAACACAACTATGTTTACCCATTAAATTGAAATAATTTTAAGACTTGGCAGATTATCAGGCAATATTCAAAAACCAATGTTGAGAGAAAACTCAGAAGAAATGACAGAAGTACATCTGCTTAGGAAGGCCCTTTCGAACGTTCAAATGGAAAAATGAATTAAAATTTGGCAAGAAAGAGGAAGAGAACTTCCTCACTATGGAAAATTGGCATATACAATGCTATGATCTCAATCCATATTGAAAACAGCTTCAGACATTGAACCACATCCCAAGTACAAAGGTGTATAGGGCAGAGACACCCGTCACCAAATATTAGCTACTACATAACACTCCATTTCAAGGCTGATAAAGTGCAAAAGGTCTTCTCATAGAAACAACTGCAACAAAAAAGACTGGGAAATACGTATTGCTTATTCATCAGTGAATAAAAACTCTGGTCTAAGAAATACTCTGTGAGTATACTTGGGTTTCTGAATGTTTATTCCTGCAGACACTAGAACATTCACTGAAACACTTGTTTTAATATGCTCAGTCGAAGTCATTAATTATGATTTTTTTTCATTTAAAAAAGTTTATAAATCTCTCCAATTTATACATCTTGGGTGGACAGTTAGTTTAACATGTAAATAGGCTGGTTGTTAAGCATTTTCAGTGGCTTTTAGTGCATTTTTAGTTCTGACTATCTGAGAGAAATAAGTTATTATTCCCAAGGATCCTGGCAAACACATATGTGACAATATGTTGCAGAAATTTCTAGGGGTTTTTTTTTTTGAGTTGGAGTCTTGCTCCTTTACCCAGGTTGGAGTGCAGTGGCATGCAGTGTTGACCTTCTGGGCTCCAGTGATCCTTCCACCTCAGCCTCCCAAGTAGCCGGAACTACAGATGAGTGCTACAATGCCCAGCTATTTTTTATTTTATTGTAGTGACCAGGGCTCACCAAGTTGCCCGGGTTGGTCTCAAACCAGCAGGCTCAGGCAATCCACTCGCCTCGGCCTCCCAAAGTGCTGAGATTACAGGCTGAGCCACCAAACCTGGCTGTATTTCTGGGGTTTTATATAAACATTTTATAAATCCAAATACATTCTGGAATCCATGAGCCATAGGCAAAAATCAGTTGTTTTAAGTACATTTTTAAAATGATTAAAGCAAAAGTGAATGGATTCAACCAAGGAAAAGTCTTGATAGCACAAAATTTTGACTTGTCAATAAAAATAATATAACAAAATTCAAAATTTATAAATGAAAACAATGCCTAAAAGCGAATTCTAAGTCTTCAGGAACTCCTATGTGGCATCTCATCAGATTTTTTGTTTGTTTGTTTGTTTGTTTGTTTTGAATTGGAGTCTCACTTTGTTGCCCAGGATGGAGTGCAGTAGCATACTCACAACCACTGCAGCCTCAATCTGCTGGGCTCAGGTAATACTTTCGCCTCAGTCTTTCAAGCCAGAACCACAGGTGTGCACCATGACTCCCGGCTAACTTTTTTGATTTATTGTAGAGACAATGTCTTCCCAAGTTACCTGGGTTGGTCTTGAACCCCTGGATTCAGGCAATCCTCTTGCGTTGGCCTCCCAAAGAGCTAGGATTATAGGCGTGAGTCAGCACACCCAGATCATCAGTTATTTTTTAAATAAACTTTACAAATGGTTGTTTTGGAAAATGATTGACATGTTGATCTCAAAGAAATTCCATTCTTAATTTTAGGTATCTCAAAAAATAATCATTTAAACCTGGATTATCATTTGATTCCTTTTTGGAAAATATTCAAGTAGAATTAATTTGTACCTAGTTTTAACTAAGATGTGTATGATTCTTTCTAGCTTCTTTCCTATCATAAATAAAAAGCATCTCTAAGACAGTGGCTAGCACAGATTAAAAATGAAGATACGTGGGAATGAAAGGGAGGCTCAAACTTCATCTGTACGATGATCACTTATGTACCTAATTCTGAATTGTGCCCCATATCTTAATAAAATAAAATAAAATAAAATGGAAGCACATGGATAATGTTGGGAAATTCATTTTTCATATCCACTGGACTCCCAAACTATAATTGTAAATTTAGAATATTGCTTATAGTTAAAATGTTTAAGACTGAGTTATTTGGAAGTTGAAATCATCATGTGTTTGGCATTTTTGATGAAGACAATTTTAGAGCGAATATTTTACACCAGCAGCCAATAAGTTTCAGATGGTTTGTAAGTAGCAGGAGATTCAAAGTTGAAATGGAATTTTCTGTGACAGGCTACAAATAACAGTTAACATATGCCTAGATTACAAACAAAGCAGGAATTGCATAGAGCCAAGTAGGAGAGTAAGAGAGCTGAAAGTTAAGGAATAAAATTATCCAAAATTCCTAGCAAAAATTTTAGGCACTAAAGAACAAAACTGTCTCAACTACTTTTAAAGACATCATATTCCTCAATATTAGAAACTAACAAGAAGTGACTTTAAAAGTCACAGTTTACATCCATAACTGTGATGTGTTCCAGAAAATAATAAAAATTAATGTTAGTATAAATGAGCAAAAATACGTATTCTTCAATGATAGAGCCTAAAAGTTGATTCAAACTTTCAGGTGAAGTTTTCATCTAAAAGTGTTTCTGAGCATATTATCGGCTATTCTTTGCCATAAGATATTTTTCTTGGTCAAGATGTTCCTTGTCATGATAGATGACAAATGAAGTCATTTACTTGCAAATTTCCTTTGTTTTAATGTAATATTATTCAGTATTTCAATAAGTTACTGTATTTGTGGTTGCACAAATTATTATGAAAGCTTCTAATTTACTTTTATTTGGAGGCTCGGTTCTGCAGCAGGAACCAAGCGGCCTGATAACTATTCCTCTGGGGATGCATCGTATCTTAATGGTAGTGATGCGGCCTACCTGAATGGCTTTGCGTGTCAAGTCATTGTATCTGTAAAATGATAACAATCTATTTACCTATATCTACCATACCTATCTCACAGGGCATGAGTTTGAAATGAAATAAATAAGAGTTTTTAAAACAAGTAGTGCTGGAGGTGTTGAGAATAATAGTTGCAGTAGTGCTAGTATTCAAGAGGAAATTCTGCTTCAGATGATGACCTACCTAAATCTACTGTAAGATATTACTTACAGATTCCTAAATTATCTTGCTATGATACTACTTGCTGTAGCATAAAACTCCGTAGCTCTGTCACTATGATGTTTTTGTGTGTAGTTTTTTTTTTTCTTTGTTCTTTTTCTTTTTTATACTGGTCTATTTTATAGATCATTGTTTTATGGACAGGTATGAATACTAAATATTAATATTAAATATTTAGAATATTAAAATAGAAATGCTGTGTGGTTTTGTGTTTTCTTCAACATTTGACAAGTAAAATTAGTGAAGTTAATTTAAATAGCAAAGAAGAAAATAATCTCTATTTTCCCAGTTCTTAATGCAATACAACAGTGTCAATTATTTTGAAGAAAACTATGACAATATTATTATAAATGCTGTAGAAATAAATACATCGCTTTAGAAATGTGTTTAATTAAGAATCGATTTAGTCACTTTATAAAATGGAATTTTGGAGTATCTTTGAGTCTGAAATGGTCAGGGCACTCATACTGGCTGTCTTGAGTACAGAGACTCAGTGTTTAACACACTTTTTGAATCTTTGATTTATGTCTCTGAAACATAAATTCTCAAATCTCTTAGAATCCTGATATTTTATAACGACTTCGCATCATGACCACCTCCTCCAATTGTCCAAATCATCACGCTGAGATCAAGTGAAGTTCTAAGAGATAAAATACTGGCCAGAACTTTCTGGAAGTAAATAGAAGAAGCTGAACCTTATGTAACGTGTTTCCCTGTCATCAGGTCACTCTCTAGGCTGTTTATACTCTGGATCCCTTTCAGACCACATGGAAGTTAATTTTAGTTTTGCAGAAAGCACGGGTAGGCAGAATGCTGTCTTTGCAGAAATGGTCTCCGTGAGGCTTAGGAGGAGAGTCTTACCTTTCTGATTTCCTGTGCATTACCGGAGAGAAGGAAGCACTGTTCGTCCTGGGCGAATCGCTTCTTGCATCTGCTTGCCTGGGTTAACGTGGATGTGCGGGGGACAGCCCCAGCGACCGCGGCCGGGAGCTTCCTAGTCCCTCGGAGCGTCAGGGTCTGGTAGAAGAGACAGATGGCCACCACCAAGCCCACCAAGAAGGGCCGGGGGCAAAATCGCCGACGACAAGGGAACACCGGGCGACAGACCATGTCCAGTTCAGCTTCACTTGGCCCCTGTCCACGTTGCGGGAAAAGTCATAGCAGCTACTTTTTTGTCAGCATGAAAATATACAGATCTGTCTTCTTTTTCCACAACTCCAGTCAAGTTTGCTCCATCCCTGCTTAAGAACTTTCCGATGGGTCATGCCAGAGAATCACAGGTCCCAAAAGTCTGAGACGGTGAATAAGTGCCCTTCCATGGACGACAGCAAAAAGTGGCTGACCCAGGTTTAAAAAAAAAAAAAAAAAAAAAAGACATCAAAATAATAGTTGTAACGAATAACCTGAGTGTGCTCCGGGCTGCCCAACTGTTGCTTCCGGTAATGTCTTATTTTCACAACATCCTAAAACTCAGTGAAGGCGTCCGACTCTGCCCCAGCTTAACAGGAAGAGAGAAAACAACACCCAAGTAAATCTGGAGTCTGAAAACAGCACTGAAGAATGCAATAGGTTAAAACCCGAAGTGCCTGTTGCACAGCTGGAGGCAGGCCAGGTTGCCTTAGCAGTTCCTCATTTTTCCTGAGGTTTTAAAGCAGTCCTTGCTTTCAGCCTTTTGTGGGCTTCCTTTCATTCAGTTTTAAATTCCCACTTTCCTGTAAGCATTCACGGCTTTTAACATGAAAAGAGAGAATGAGGGGTTTGAATGGACGTGGTGACTGTCAGGGCTTTGCTTGTATTTGTTTCATTCCGTTTCAAGTTCAAAGTTCTATGTACTTACTCAGTTTTCATCCTTTTAGCCAGGAAAAAAAAAAAAGTTTCCATGATCCCCTAATGGATTGCTGATCAAAACCACTCGGAAGGAAACACCCAGTCGTATGACTCCAATTCATCTCTCTCTCTCTCTCTCTCTCTCTCTCTCTCTCTCTCACACACACACACACACACACACACACACACACACACGCGCGCGCGCGCGCGCGCGCCCGCCGCACACCCGGCCGAGCCGAGGACCGAGGACCTCGACCTCCGCAGCCACCGGGGCCAACCGAGCGGGGCGGAGCCAAGGCCGGGCTCCTCGGGCCCCCGGGGCAGCCGGAGCCGCGCCGTCGTCAGTTCGGGAAGGGACACGAGGGGCTCCCCCAGGCTGGAAACCGCAGTCAGCAGGTCCCCGGAAATGAGGTTGCCTACCCAGAGCTGCAGAATGTGGAAACTCATCTGATGTCGGACCCCCCTATGTAATTTCATTTTTCCTGATGCAGAATTGGAAACACAAACAGCCCTTAGACAATTGATGTCAAAGGTCGAGAGAGAGAGAGAGACCAAAGCACCCTCCGTGGGTGCATGGGAAAGTTCTTCACTCCTGGGAGTTGTGGTTCTTCTTCTAGTAAGAGGGTCACGAGGACTGTCTGGGCCTCAGACAGCAAGCCGCAGAATAACTCACAGTCGTCTCCGTTTTAGTGCCGAGCACACAGCCACGGCTGTCAGCATCATTCCTTTCCTGGGCTTATAGCTGGTCTTGCTTAGGCTGAATTGCCTGACACCCCTAAAATGAGTTGTTTGCAGCTGGTGTCGGGGGTAACATTTGCCGTCAGATAGGGGTACACAGCGGGCTTTGTCCAGAATTCAGCTCAGTCTAAATCTATGCCGAGCGTCACAAGGACACTGCTAATACTGCAGTTCTGCAAACTCCATCCACTTTGGG